CTCGGCAGATGGCCGCTCACACTGAGCCTGGTTCTGCTGGAGGTTTCTTCCTGTTCAAAGGGAGTTTTTCCTCTCCACTGTCACTAAAAACATGCTTCTGCGAGGGATTTCCTTTGACTCAATGAGTCGATGCAATCAACTGGTTTTCCTTAGATAGAAAACTTTGAATCAATCTGACCCGATGATCTGGTGAACTGGAAAGTGCCTTGAGATGAAGTGTTGTGAATCGGCGATTTATAAATAAACTGAATTGAATTTTATATGGGGGATATAGCAGCGGAATGAAACTGCTTGGACATAATTGTTCACTGTCTGTTGGAAATGTTTCCATTTCCCCGCCCCCCCGCTGTGACCCAGATTATACGCTGTAGTGGAAGCGGGCCTCATGTGAAAAGCATGTGAAACGTGCCGCAGGCAGGCCTCCGCCATGGATGCTGGTAAACCATGAGGCTTCTTGTCTCTGCTGACAGTCAGCAGCAGCAGCTTGGCTAAACCAGGGAGCCAAAAGGGGAACGCTCTGCCTGTGGCCGTAGGAAACAAGACACACAACTCATTCCCAAGTATTTCAGCATCTGAACCTTTAAGGACAACAAAAACTGAGCGAAAATTGTGAAAAAACTATATAAAAAAAGCAAAAGAGGGAGGAATTCCTTTAACATGTAAATCATGCAGACATTTTATCATCTTTCCCACAGCGAGCTCTAGTCTAAACCCTTTGCTTCAATTCAGTTCAGTAACCAGTAGCCAAAAAGTAACAAGTAGAGATGTTTTCACAGTGAATGTTTATCAGCAATCCCTCCACACAGGCTGGACTTGAACTTTTTTTCTTTGCTTTTCCACTTTCAGTGCCATCATTTTCTTTTGTCCTTCATTCATTTATTCAGGTTTTAATTTAATCCAATATTGTAAACACAAAGGAAAAAACAGCCCTAAACAGCAGACACTGATACCCTAAAAAGCTCAAATTCATCTGTTGAAGTAACTCACAACAAGTAATTACAAGTAATGATCATTTCAGTAAATGGGAGGCCTATCTTGCTGTTGGTTAATGCATTTATTGGGGCAGAGTATCCATTCAGATTCTAAAGAATTTTTTTTCTGTGTAATCCGGTCTGGTCTGATCTCAGATCAGATTTAATGCATATTTTAAACAATTTCCAAAACAAGGTAAAGAAATAAATGTACATATGCATTTCACTACAGTACCACTGACAGATGGTTCAAGAGGCTGATATGACCAAATCCTACCAGTGTATAGAGAGGGCGGAGCTTAAAGCAAAAAAGTTTGGTCAGCAAAGAATAACCAGTGGATCATCATCTATACCTAAAACTAATACATTTGCTATGATTTAAAGAATTTAGCTTTGATCAAGAATAAAAACAATAATTTTCGTTGTGATCAACGAGTCTGGGAGCGGCCATTTTTGCCCAAATATAGTAACCCCTCCCTCCTGCCATCTTCC